CAAAAAATTATAAAGTGATACTTAAATATTTCTTCAAACAGAAAGAGAAAAAGAAAAAATTATTACTCTATTTATAAGACAATTTTATTTTATAAAAATAAGTAATTTTAAAATTTTTACCATAAAAAAATATTTTTCAAAATTATTATATTTTTTAATAAAATTAATAAATAATATTCTATTTTCAATTTTGGAACGGACCGTTCTGAATCCAGAACGACCTGTTCTGAAACTAGAACGGCCTATTCTAGTTTCAGAACGGACCGTTCTGCTGTACTCTTGGTGTGTTAATTTTGCATCTGGAACGGCCCGTTTCAGATGCAAAATTAACACACCAAGAGTGCATCCAGAACGGTCCGTTCTAGTTTCAGAACGGGCCGTTCTGGTTCCAGGTGTTTTCAAAAAAATTGGCATCCACGTGGCATCCACCTATGCATCTATGTGGCATCCACGTGACCAACAGTTAACTTTGTTTAAATAATTTGGAAGGAAGTTGCAAATTGAAACCAATTAATTTATTAAGGACCAAATTGAAACCAATTAATTTATTTGGGACCAAATTAAAACCAAAAATAAAAGTGGGACTAAATTGAAACAAACAATTATTATAAGGGACCAAAATAAGTTTTTAACCTATTTTTTTTCTTTAAAAGTAGCCATAATTATATAACATAAAGTGGGTACCTTTTTAAAATCATGCAAAACAAAATAAAGCACAATCCTAGGGCGGTGACGATTAACAATGAAAATTAGTAACAGTATAAAAATTAATAAAAAATATAATGTAAAAAAAAAAAGATAAAAGTTGAAGATAACATAATGGTGAGTGTAAGATGAAAAACAAAATATTACTTGAAGGTCATTTGTGCGGTTAATGGGAGAAAATAAATTAGGAGATATGGAGGTGATCATCTCACCAAATAAGGAGTAAAATTTACAATGAAAAGTGAAGATAAAACTATGATATTTGTTTATATATTGTTTTGGATTATAAATTAAACAATTATTAATATTTTAGTTTGTATAATATAAAGTTTAATATTTATTATATATAATTAAAATTTAAAGTTATATATATATCAAGGTCTTAATAAGAGTTGTAGGAAATCCCCTTATCTTTCTTTTGAGATATGTTTGGACTTATTTGGATGAGTATAACTCTTTGGATGTTGTTTTCTTTGATAGTTGTCGAAGGGAGATACTTGTTGTTTTGATGTGTTAAGTTGTTATCAGGTTGGTTAAAAAGTTGTTTGATACTATAATGTATAGTTGGTTCATATATGTATGATATATGATGTATGGTGGTGAATGATTCATATATATGCTTGGTAATGATATGTATGAATGTTTGAATATGATATCACATATGTATATGTTCATATGAGGATGATATTGATTATGATGGTGGATAGACCATGTATGATGTATGATGTATTATTGCATGTGATGCCTTATGGCATGTGTCTAGCCTAGGACTTGAGGAGAGGGAAAATGCTTTCGAACTGGAAGAGCTCACATAGAGTCTCTTGAGAGTGGTGCTTGGATAGGCCATTGATTATGAGAGTGATGCTCAGGTAGGCCACTGGTTTTGGGTGAGAGTGGTGCTCAGGTAGGCCACTGGTTTGGGTGAGTCTCCTCTAAGTCCTTAGCTAGTGTTGAAGCGGATTATGAGGTCGAGGGTTATTCCTTTAACCAAGTACTAGGGAAGGTGCGTGATTCCTTATGGATAGTAGGTGGGCCAACTCCACAAGTGACTTGGTAATGCATGCCAAGGTTGTGGTAAGCCTGTACCCAGCTGTGCTATACTTGATGGTGGAACCGGACTTCCAATTGTGTAAGTGACATCATCCGAGTAAACCCGAGTGAGGATTTATATCCTATTTAGTTATGACTGAGCAGGCGCATTGGGCGTGAAAATGGTTGAGGTAGTTTCGGTAGGATTGGGATGTCACTTATACTGCTCTGCTGTTAGGGAGATATCCTAGGTGTATGCGTGACGACGCATTAGATGATTGATATGCATTGATATCTTTCATGAGTTGCATGTATTGCATGACTGCTATGATGATGAAGTGTATGGTGTTTGACTTCATATTTGATGAATTGATTATTGATTGAGATGGAAGTTCCTTTAGGACTTGATTTGGATGCATAGTAGTATAGATTTTATTCTACACTTGTATGATTGCTCTTTGAACTCTAGCTTACCCTTGTGTTTCCATGTGGTTGGACTACGATGATCATACCTTGTATGAAAGCAGGTCAGGGCTAGCTTGGAGTTGAGGTGATCACTACGAGAGGAGGAGTTTTGTCATAGTGTCAGAGTTACTTTCTTGGGTAACTGTTGTGTGTGCTTGACCGACACTAGGAGGTTATGATTTTGGGATGACTGTACATATATGGTGCTATATTTTTTACATAGACACATAGTTATTATATTTATATTTACATACCTATATGTATGAGTCATTCAGTTCTATATTTTCTTAGTTCACTAGTAGTAGTGCGATTTCACTAAGTGTAGGGACATGGCGGGTCGTTACAATCATCGTTATTGTGAGTTTTTTTTAATCAAACCATTGGGACATATCGTTAATAAGCAAAATATTACACTATTGGAAATATTCTAAGAAGAAATATTAGAAGATAAAATAAAGACTGATATATTTATTTCATTCATAATAATAATTGTAAAGAGAGATACATTTATATAATTTTAGTAGGTGTCAATCGATTAGATTTTAAAGTCAATTTTTTAAGAGTTCATTTGGAGTTATTAGAGTGGACAGTGAAACCCTTGAAAGGCAAGTGGAGATCCTAAATTATAGATTAATGTCACTTTCATTTACCTATTTGAGACTATTGGTGGTGACAAATCCTAGTACGGGAAAAATGTAAAATCCAATCGTGAAAAAATTCAAAATGAAGTTGTCCATGTGAAAACATAAGGTGTTGTTTTTGTTGGAAGAATATGTCTCATTAGCTCTATACTTTCCTTATTCCCATTCTTTTACTTGTCTTTCTTTAAAATGTCTTATTCTATTGCAAGTAAAAATAAGAGAATATATAAAGAAACTTTTTGTGGGGTGGTGAGGAGGGAAAAGGGAAATTTGGGAAGACTGTTGGTTGGGTGATGAAAACTTGACTTCTAAATTCCCGAGGATTTTTTCTAATTCACTACAACATGGAAACCTGATTTCTATCATGGGGAATGGGTGAGTGTAAATTGGAAATGGGGTTTGAAATGGAGGAGAAATTGGTTTAAATGGGAAAAACAAGTGGTTGAGTTGGAAAGTATGTTAGAGGGTTGCAAACCACTAAGAAGAGAAAGGGATAGATGGATTTAGATAAAGACAGATCTAGAAATTCTTAGTGAGATCAACATATAGTTCTTTACATGATCTATGGCTTGGAGAGGAGGGGAAGGAATGGTTGGCAAATGTGTGGAAATTGGATATACCATAAAAGGTAAAATTTATGTTATGATGATTAGTCCAAAATTGTTAGATCAAAAGATGTATTTAGATCTCTTTGGGTATTAATTTTAATATTGTACAAGAATATTAAAAAATTAATATCATTTCCAAAATATATTATCAAATAATTAAGAAAATCCAAAAAAAATATTAGTATCATGAGAATATTTCCCACTTCCCTTTATTTCTTATCTCTCCACCAAATATAACATAAGGAGCGATGAATCTTTATAACCCCCACCCCAACTGTTAGAGAGTTTTATGCACTTCATTCAATGAGTAATAAGTAAACCACAAAAGTGAGCTTGACACTATAATATTACTTAAAACCTTAAGACGACATTATGTAGGTAAATCTTTCTTGCTTATATACTACTCAACTTATCCAACTCTAATCGATGTGGGACTTTACTTCACACTTGAAGTCCAATACTCATCCTCAAGTGGAAGTCTTCTTTTCTACCATCACACACATCAATGACACACATTCTCCACACCTCTAGGGAGACTTTTAGTATAATGGACGATCTCACTCTTGAATCTCAAGCCAATTCCATTATTTTGTCAATTCTATTGGCTAATAAACATCTAAACCGATCACGAGTCACTTAGTTGAATCATCAACTCTGATATCATAGTTGGATCGGGGGAGTTCAACATCGAGGGAACACTTTATCAATGGGTAGTGAGTAATACATAAATGAGCTTGAGACCGCAACATAACCTAAAACCTTAAAGTATTAGATAGATGAGTCTTTCTCACTTATATACTACTCAACCTGTCTAACTCAAACCAATTTGAGACTTTATTTCATACTTGAACTCCAAGACCCATCACAACACTCTAAACTTGCGACGGACAAATTACGACGGTTATCTAGAAACCGTTGTCGCTTTGATATTGTGACCCTTCATACGACAGTTTTCAAAATCGTCGCAAAATTGTTCAACATTGCAACGGTTTATCGTAAACCGTTGCAAAATTTGTTTCACATTGCGACAGTTAATCAAAAACCATCGCAAATTTTTTTTAACATTGCGACAGTTAGTCATAAATCGTCGCAAACTTTTCAACATTGCAACGATATTTCGTAAATATGAAATTAAAAGAATTTAAAAGAAATTTTCAAAGAAAATTCATTCTCGTGTGAGAAATAATAGTTTATGTTTTGTACATAGAGAGATTGTAATGAATAAAAATCTAGTTATTAAACAGTAACCAGGAAAATATATTTTAACAAATGAAATAAAGACTGGGCCGAGCATGTCTGGTAATTCTCCCAGAGGCCCAAGACGAAGTTGAGTGGAGATGAAATTATGAAATAAAACGAACCCAAACTTAGTTGCATTTTAGTCATGAGTGTGGATCTCCTTTGCACAGCTGCATAACAAGCGAAGTCATAGCCGTTGCTGCGAGAGTGAAAGTGAGAGCATGCACATGCATGGATTCAGAGCAAGGGTTTTCCTGCGCTCTATTTCACTTTGCAAATCGAAGTGGCATCATCACCATGTCCGTCAATCTCATCCATTCTTCTATTCTTCCCTTTTCTCTTCCCTAACCTAACCTAACGCCTCTCTTTCCTCTTATTCTAGGGAACTCAAATCCACTTCTCGCAAAATCTCACCTCCACAACAGGTATTCTCGATTTCATGTTTATCAAATCAATTGCGCCTCAATCATATTATGCCCACTTGTCAATCGCCTAACACGAGGGATGATAATGTATAACGAAATGCAGGTCATGAATTTATGGAATTTGCAGCAGGACCGTCTATGCAGATGCAAGTTGTCAAGGCGCTCTGCTCGGGCAAGAGAAGGAAGGCTTCGGAGTTGCTTGAAGATTTTGATTCCAGAAATCACTCATTAACAGCTGATGATTTTGTTGATATTTTTAAGTACTGTGCACGCTCTCCTGATCCACTGGTATGCCCAATAACCAAATATGTTCGCAAAATGAATGTGTTAAAATTTGCTTTAACCACGGGTTTATAAATGTTACGCCAAGAATGAGATGATAAACACACACGGGGTTCACTCTCTGCTATATTCTTTTTTTAACGAGAAACAAGCAAGAATTTTAAGAGAACAAAGATTAGGGAAAGCATAAGAACACACAACAATTTCACGTGGTTCGACTTAGAGCAATGCACTCTTCAGTCTACATCCACGGGGCAGCCACTGAGATTAAAAACTCGCTAAGAAATTGATTACAAATTTTTCTCTCTCTGTCAGTCTAAAAACAGAGGCTGCACCTATGCCTTATATATATATGAATAGAAGAACTATTCTACACATCAAATATTTAATATGGTTGAGAACCAACAGCCAACAATCTCCACCTTGGTTCAAAAACAGCAACAGAACAAACAGCAGCAGAACAGCTTCAAACATTCAATCACCATGCAGCTTAATCAAGTTTAGACAGTGATAAAACTTTGTGCTGGAAACCATTTTCGTAATCATATCAGTATGATTATGATCTTTTGATATCTTCTTCACTATCACAGCCCCCCTATCAATGACTTCTCTGACAAAGTGCAGCTTGATGTCAATGTGTTTTGTCCTCTCATGGTGCAGAGAATTCTTGGACAAGTGAATGGCACTTGACTGACACAGTGAACTGTGATCACCTTGTCTTGTAGCTTCAATTCTCTTGCAATGCCTTCAAGCCATATAGATTCCTTTACTTCCTCTGCAAGAGCTATGTACTCAGCCTCTGTGGTTGATAATGCTACTACCTTTTGAAGTGTAGCTTTCCAACTTATTGCAGTACCAAAAGCTGTAAATACAAAACCTGTAAGGGACTTTCTGGAATCTAGACAGCCAGCATAATCAGAGTCTACAAAACCTTCAATAGCCACTGCCTCTGTGCCATTTTTAGCTCCACCATAGACTAGGCCCCTTCCAATTGAACCCTTTATGTACCTCAATATCCATTTGACTGCCTGCCAGTGAGACTTGCCTGGATTTGCCATAAATCTACTCACAATGCTTATTGCATATGCTATATCAGGCCTAGTACAGACCATAGCATACATGAGAGATCCTACCACACTTGCATATGGAATGTTTTTCATGTAAACAACCTCTTCTGAGTTTGAACTAATGTGACATAAGAGTGATTACAGGTTTAGAGTTAGACATTCCAAACTTCTCTAGAACCCTTTTGAGATAAGTTTCTTGAGATAGATGCAATAAATTCTTCCTCCTGTCTCTTTTGATTTCAATCCCCAGAATCTTCTTAGTAGGCCCCAGATCTTTCATTTCAAATTCCTTGCACAAGTCAGATTTTACTTTGATTAATTCATCCTTCTTGTTGCTTGCTATTAGGATATCATCAACGTAAAGCAAAAGAATAATCAGCACTGCATTATCAGGGAATTTAAAGTAGACACAATTATCATATTGACTTCTATTGAAGCTAATCTTGGTCATAAATTCATCAAACCTCCTATTCCACTGCCTGGGGGATTGCTTTAATCCATAGAGTGATTTATTCAATTTACAAACATGATCCTCTTTTCCTTTTTCTACAAAACCTTTAGGTTGCTGCATTAGGATTTCTTCATCTAGTTTCCCATATAGGAAGGCTGTTTTAACATCCATCTGTTCTAGCTCAAGGTCAAGAGTTGCCACCATAGACAATAGGATCCTTATGGACCTATGTTTCACAACAGGTGAGAACACTTCATTGAAGTCAACTCCCTCCTTTTGAGTGAATCCACGAGCTACAAGCCTGGCCTTGTATCTGGCTGGTTCAACACCTTGGATGCCTTCTTTCTTCTTGAACAACCACTTACAACTGACCACTCTAGAACCAATTGGCTTCTTAATCAGCTTCCATGTATGGTTGTCATGCAGAGATTTCATCTCTTCTTTCATGGCATTCAGCCAACTCTATTTCTCCTTACTAACAAGGACAAATTCTAGATCCATAGGGTCTCCCTCCAAAACCTCACTGGCAGTTATTAAAGCAAATGCAATCAAATCTGCATAGCCGTACCTTTCGGGTGGCTTGATTTGCCTCCTGGTTCTATCTCTAGCTAGTTGATAGCTTTGATCTTCTCTATGCTCAAATTCAGATTCATCCCCTTCTAAGGACGTAGCAATTTCTTGGGTTTTAAGAGTTTTCATCTCAGGCTCCACCTCAAAATCAAGATTTCCATGATCAATGACTTTATCCAGGTTAGTGTTTTCCATATCAGTGCCTTGATTTAGTTTGTAAGCCATTTCCGCTTCATTGAAAATGACATCACGACTCACAAGGCATTTTCTGAATCCAGCTTCCAAACACCATAGCCTATAGCCTTTAACTCCTTCAGGGTAGCCTATAAAAATGCATTTAACAGCTCTAGGCTCCAACTTGTCTTGCTTAATGTGAGCATAGGCAACACAACCAAACACTTTTAAGTGTTTAAGACTTGGTGTGTGACCAAACCAGACTTGTTCAGGTGTTTTTAGATTCAGGGCTGTTGAGGGGCACCTATTTATAAGATATGCAGCAGTCATGGCTACCTCTGCCCAGAACACCTTTGGCAGGCCTGCACTAAGCAACATACACCTTACTCTCTCCAATATGGTTCTATTGAATCTTTCTGCCAATCCGTTTTGTTGCGGTGTACTAGCAACTGTTTTGTGCCTCACAATTCCATTTTCTTTACAAAATTGATTAAAAAAATTTGAGCAAAACTCAAGACCATTGTCAATTCTAAGACATTTGATTTTTCAACCAGTTTGATTTTCAACCAGAATCTTCCAGCTCTTAAAGTTTTCAAGAGCTTCATCCTTGGTTTTCTGGATGATTATCCAAAGCTTCCTTGAGTAATCATCCACAATGCTCAAGAAGTATCTAGCACCAGAATGAGAAGCGGTTTTTGTTGGTCCCCATAAATCCGCATGAGCATAATCCAAAATACCTTTTGTATTTTTTTGTCTCGTACTGAATTTGTCCTACAGGATTTCCCATACACACAGTGTTCACAAAACTTCAGTTTCTCTACTTTGTCTCCACATAGCAGGTCTTGTTTGGCTAGTTCAATTAATCCTTTCTCACTTACATGCCCCAATCTCTTGTGCCATAATTCAGTCTTTGACGGGAGCTTTCTGGATGCAGTAGCAGCTGATCCAGTGATAACTTCACCATCAACAGAATACAAACCATTCTTCATGATTCCCCTCATAACAACCACATAATTTTTTACAACATTAAGAATCCCCTCTTGGCCTTGGAACACATACCCCTTTTTATCAAATTCACCAAGAGAGATTAAATTTCTCTTAAGGTCAGGTACATATCGAACATCAGCGAGGACCCTTTCAATTCCATCATGAAACCTGAATCTGATGGATCCAATTCCCTTAATTTTGCAGGGCTTATTGTCTCCCAAGAGAACTAGACCATCTGCTTGATCAGCAAAATTCTCAAACCATGATCTACGTGGTGTCATATGCCATGAACACCCTGAATCCATTATCCACTCTAATTTTGAATTATCTTTAGACACAACCAGAGCTTCAGCCGATTCATAACCCTCATCTTGTACAATAACAACATTTACATAATATTTTCCCTTTTCTTTGTTTCCACCATTAGCAAGCCTTTCAGGACAGACCTTCCTTGTGTGACCCTCTTTCTTGCAATGATAACATCTGATTGTGAAGGTGGATTCTCCACCATCTTTTTGTTTTTCTGGCTTTGGTTTCTTCTTATCAGGTTTACTATATTTCTTGGAGGTCTTGCCCTTAGCTGTCAATCCTTCACCATTTACTGTGGGTTTTTTCTCCTTCCTTTCATTCAACTCTTTTGAGTTAATGGCAGCTTGCACCTCATCAATTGATACCGAGTCTCTTCCAAATAACATGGTTTCTTTGAAGTGGGAATAGGCCCTAGGTAAGGAACACAACAATAACAAAGCTTGATCCTCATCGTCTATGGTGACATCAATATTCTCAAGATCCAAAATCAACTTATTAAACTGGTCTAATTGTTCACCCACTGGTTTATCCTCATTCATCTTAAAAGAATACAAAGATTGCTTCAAGTAAAGTCTATTTACTAAAGATTTGGTCATATACAAACTTTCGAGTTTAGACCAAATCCCTGCAGCAGTCTTTTCCTTAGAGACTTGCCTAAGGACTTTATCACCAAGACTCAGGATAATAGCACTGTGGGCCTTTTCTTGCATTTTCTTCCTTTCCTCATCAACCGTAGCATTTTCGGCCTTGGCTTCACCAGCAAGAGCATCAACCAACCCTTGATGAACAAGAAGGGCTCTCATCTTTAATCGCCATAGACCAAAGTTGTTTTGACCAGTGAATTTTTCCACCTCATATTTGGCTGAACCCATAGTTGGACGATCCACGCTCACTGCACCACTTGTTACGCCAAGAATGAGATGATAAACACACACGGGGTTCACTCTCTGCTATATTCTTTTTTAACAAGAAACAAGCAAGAATTTTAAGAGAACAAAGATTAGGGAAAGCATAAGAACACACAACAATTTCGAGCAATGCACTCTTCAGTCTACATCCATGGGGCAGCCACTGAGATTAAAAACTCGTTAAGAAATTGATTACAAATTTTTCTCTCTCTGTCAGTCTAAAAACAGAGGCTGCACCTATGCCATATAAATATATGAATAGAAGAACTATTCTACACATCAAATATCTAATAAGGTTGAGAACCAACAGCCAACAATAAATGTATGGGAGAAAATAGTGATTTTAGCTTCAGCAACAATTTAACAACTGTATGTTCTCCTGTGTGAGTTGAAAGCACAAGAAATTATCTTGACTTTTCTTTTTGCTTGACTATGCACACTATCCTCGAAAGTCTCAACCATGAGTTATGGTGATTGGTGAAGTATTTTGTGAATGTCAAATTTATTCCTTCCTTTTTTTGATTTGCTGCAGTTTGTTATGGAGCTTTGGAGATTCATGGAGTTAAAAGGTGTGAGCATGAACAACATATGCTCATCTCTCATGATGCAGGCCCTTTGTAAAGGGGGTTACTTGAAAGAGGTAAACTTTTAGTTTAATAAATAATATAATTAACTATATTTTTCCTTTAAGTGCCTTTCCTTCTTGGGTTCCGTTCTGGGGAGAGGGGCTAGGATCTTTTGTTTGTGCTGTCATGTTTGAGTTTATTCCTTCTGATACCATATTAGAAGTATGAACTTTTTGTCAACAGGGAGGGTGAAACAAACAACAAGAATAGCCGCAAGGAAGGGAAGCATAATATGAATTAATATGAATTGAATTAATAACCAGTGCAGTACAAGGAATATATAGTATTGTTAACTTAAAACAATATGTAAACATAGACTTGGTAACCTACAAAAGCAGGTAAACCCATAACAAACTAAAACTGATCCAATAATCCATTAGATTTTCAGGGAATTTTTTTATAGAAAAAAATGTTTTTTTTTTCTTTCTTTCTGAAAATACAATTTAATATATTGCTATTTTTGTGTGAGCATTGAATTGCATATTATGTGGTGTTATTAGTGAATCACCTTGATCTTTGCTACAAGGTATTTATTTTTATCCTGTCTTCTCATTGTACTTTGTTCAGGCCTTTGATATCATGGATTTACTTGGAGAAAGTCAATGTCTCTATCCAGTTCTCCCACTGTACAATAGTCTCTTAAGATCCTGCACGAAAATGCGGAGTATAATTCAAGCAAGCAAATGTTTGAACTTAATGGAAAAGAAGTTGGTAGGAAAGAATGAAGTTACATATACTGAGCTTCTCAAGGTGTGCAAACAGAAAGTGCTAGATCATTCTGTTATTGTTTTCAAGAGAAAAAAAAGTTTCTCTCTTTATGAGAAAAGCATTGTTTGTGTTTACTTGTTGAAGTTGTTTTACTTGACAGATTATTAAGTCTGAAAGCATTTATTGTGTGGATATGTGATTCAATGTAAACCCCTTGATCTGGACTAAAATGTGTGTTCTTCAAAGTATTACTTACAAAATATGCTTGTTTGCACCAGGACCAGTTCTTGGCTGTTTTATATTCCAAATTATGGCTATATGTTGTTTCACTGGGTGAAGTTTCAGTTTTTAGTGTTATATTTTTCTCTTTGTTGTGTACAAAACCGACATATAATGTAAAGGCTTTGTGATCATTGCAATCCCTTTTCCATCTGTGGCATGATTTTGCATATTAACCTTATTGCTTATTGAAAGGAAAGCTTATACTTCCCTCACTACTAAGAGTAGTGATGATTATTAATTGATCCATGACATCTTTTCTTTCTTGTCATTGACATCCCTTGACAATGAGGAGGGATTTACAGATGTCTTGACAGACAATGAAGAGGGATTTATAGATGTCTTGACAGTTTGTCACAGATTTCAATTTTTATTATATAATTTCTTATATCTTGTTTGACGTGGTTGTAAGTTTACAGTTTTTTGTTTTCAAACTTAAATTTGGAAACAAAACCTATTTGGATAAAAGGGGGTTGAAATAGTTTTAAATTTTAAATCAATTTTAAAACTATTTTTAACTCACTTCTGGAAACAAAAAAAAAATAGAAAGTTTCTTAGTTCTAGTTCTAGTTTTAAGTTTTTAGAAATTGGCTAGTATTTTTTTATACTTTCCTCCACTCTTATTTGTCCTTCTGCAACTCATCTGCCCTCTTCCTCCCCCTCTATGTTTAATGCAAGTAAAGAGCCAATGATTGAACCAATGGTAACAATGGAGGTTTTGGGTTTTTTGGTAGTACCATCAACCCACCACAGAAGCACAATAAGTAGAGAATCTTGATGATCCCCACTTGCAACGGTTTGCAGTAGTGCAGTTTGCAAGTGCCATGGGGTTTTCCCATTATAACCATAGAGGCTCTGATGCTCTGTTTCATGGACAAAATACTGCAGAAATCAGAGCATTAGAGGAGCATGGGGGCATTCATGTGTGTGTTTGACCCAGGGGGAAGTGATGGCTATTTTGAGCTACAGCATGGGATTGGCTTATCATCATGCTTCTACCAGTTGGAACCCCAATGAAACCTTGTTTGCAGCAACCATTGCTATTCACCAGAGGACAAGGTGAATCTTTAGGGGGGAAAGCATTGGTAGGTAAACCCCATAGTTAAATAATTAGAGTTAGTTAGTTAGGGGCCGAGATAATTAGAGAAACAAGGCATACTAGCTATAATTAAACAAGTCTGGGATTCATATGTACATCTTTCTGCTAATAGAAGCTTTTCTCTATATAATTCTGATGCAGTTTCTATCACAAAACTTCCAGGAAATGGGCCTATCTGTTTTTAGCTTTTATGACATCATAAATGGTCTGGAATCAAGTAACAACACAATATGTTTAATTTGTTACTCTATCTATTCTAAGAAACATGTTTTGCTGTATTTGAATGCTTTTATTTTTATTTTTATTTTTTATTTCTCTTCTTTTGTTTTTCTTATGACAAATATCAATTATCTTACCCTGTTTCACAGCTTGCAGTGTTGCAGAATAACTTCTCTGCAGCCCATCTCATTTGGAAGGAGTATATTAAAAACTATACCACGAGTATCATTGCTCTGCGTAGATTCATTTGGTCATTTACAAAGTTAGGAGATTTAAAATCTGCATATAATATGCTACAACAAATAGTGTCATTAGCCATCAGGGGGAACATTTCTATTGGTAGAACAGTTTATGGGAAGTTGTATTCTACTAGATTGGACATTCCCGTGCCTTCAAATAAGGGGCTAGGCTCAACCATATTGGACTTGAAGGATAACAAAAAATTGGACTCTTGTATTCACCCTCCTCTTGTGAATTTACCTGACAGTATATCTGCAAGTATAGGGCAACAGATTGCTTGTGTGGGGAATAAAAAAGCAAAGAGTGCTGAATCAGATGGTCTGAATGGACAAAAACACTCTCTACTTATGAAGGTATTGAGGTGGTCCTTTAATGATATAATACACGGGTGTGCAAAACAAAAGAATTATATGCTTGCAAGGAAGCTTATGTTACAGGTATATTTTCGACTAAGCTTGTACATGTTCTGTAATGGTCCATGTAACAAGGGATATGTAGACTAAATGATTTGTTATAAAAAAATTTGTAACTCTAAAAGGCTATGAAGCATCAATACCTCTCCTCTTTGAAATATAAGTGTCGAATGTGTTTCAGAATGTGTTTCAGACACGTGGTGGACACTCTTCATGAGGTGTCCAATTAAATAATCATTTTTATTGTCTTGGCACTTGATTGGATACCGCTTTAACCTGTAAGGATGGACTCATTGATATTTTTAAAATAATTTTATTTACATTTAGAAAAGTCAGCTGTAAATATAATATAAAATATTAAAAATAATATCTCTCACTATTTTTGTGTGAGGCTCATTATCATGGAAAAGTTGTAAAACTTAGCAAGTTGGTTTGAGATAACTTTCTTGTCAGTTATAATTTCATCTTGTTTTGGAATTTTTTGTAAAGAAATTTTATGCTTACATTGTAATTGTGAGAATTTGAGATGTGTCATCATAGTAAAATGGTGAATATAGTAGAATATACAAATATTGTTTATTAATTCAGATATTTTGTTATGTTGCTCATATTTCATTTAATTCGAATCTGTGTATGTGCGTGCGTGTGCTTCATAGTTGAACGGTTCTCTACATAATCATCGTATGTCAAATTTTAATTTTTCAGACTTCAGACCCCTAGTATTTCAATTATTGAAAGCTTCTATTAGTTGATTCTCAGTCACGATTACGAATATCAATGTTACTGTGTAACCGTGGATACATCTTCCTTTCTGAATTTTTTTAGCATAAATATATTTGTAGTTATGAAAATTCAAGTGTATTTTATCAATTGACAACTTCATTTATATTAATATATTTTAACATCTTGAAGGGCACTTCTCTGTTCAGATGGAAAATCTTGGTTTGCAGCCATCCAGCCATACGTATGATGGCTTTATTAAAGCAGTTGTTTCTCATAGAAGTTTTGTGGATGTCATAGGAGTGGTGAGTCATTTTGTTCAGAATCATTTGTTTTTGGTATTTTTTTTTAAAAAAATTATTCTTTAATCAGACTGCTATCAGTGGGAGTTCTGTCCAGAATTTTCAACCAAAGTTTAGGTCAAATAGAGCCCAAATCTAGTGAAATTGGAATCTGATTTTTATTACAGAAAAATAATTTTTTGGCCTTATATTATTGTCATAAAATGCAGTTGGAGAAAATGCAGCAGAAGAATTTGAAGCCATATGATTCAACTCTAGCGACACTTTCAATCACTTGCAGCAAAGCGCTACAACTAGATTTAGCCGAGGCTTTGCTGAATAAGATTGCTGAATGTCAATGTCCACATCCTTATAATGTTTTGTTAGCATCATGTGATGCACTGGTGAGCTCAAATATGAAACTTCAAAAAAAAATTGCTTTTTACTATTTTATTGTTTGCAAGACTAAAATTAGTTTACTTAAAGACTTAATTATATTCTTTAGTAAGACTAGTCAAAAATAGCTGATTGGGATGTTTTATGTTGAGAGAGAGGAGGGGTCAGAGGAAAATTCCAAAATACGTGAATGAGTCAGTCCAATACATGTACTTTTGTATCCAATTTATAATTTTTAGTAATATGGTGGTATAATACAAGATGATGTACATTAGAACTGTAATTATTAATTGTACATAAAAATGAAATAAGGTAACTACTCAATTTCTATATTTTTTCTGTATATATTTCTAAAATATATTTGTACATTTTTAGATAATTTTCTAGCATGGTTAATAAAATAGTAGTCTTCAAACATATAATATATTTTTTACTATTATGTGGTTGGTTACTATTTTGCTAGGATTTGTTGCAATGGCATATAACGTTTATTTCATCAATGGGCTGCAGCGCATCAATTATGATGAGCAACTGAATTTATAACTGAACTATATGTGCCAAATTCCTCTTTTAAGTTTTGGATTATTTATTTATCTTGCATTGTAGAACTTATAATGGCTTACATTTTATTTATCTGATAAAAATTTGCAGAATCAACCTGAACGTGCTCTGCGAGTGTTTGCCAAGATGAAGCAGAATTTATTTTTACCTAATATCAGGACATACGAGCTTCTATTTTCGTTATTTGGTGTTGTAAATGCCCCGTATGAAGACAGTAATATACTGTCACAGGTGGATACTGCTAAAAGAATAAATGCTATAGAAAAGGATATGGCCAAAAATGGCATTCACCACAGTTATCTTTCAATGAGAAATTTAGTAAGCTCAATTCATGATTCCCTTTTCACATAACTTAAGGATGATGCAATCTCGTGAGGATTTCCTTTTGTTTAAAAATATGAAGAACTTATATACATGTGATTGAAAAACGGGGAGGGATTCAATTGAGTGGTGAGTAACATGTCTTGGGAAGCAATTAATGTGAAAGAGAAAAATGTTTTGTTACTAGAATGCAGTTTTATTAGACCCCTCTGGGTGTCATAACCACGCTAATCTTTTTTGCCTATTCTGTTTAGTAACTAAGGAAGATGTAAATCATAGGGTTCAAGCTGGCTGGATGAAATGCAGCAATGTTTTAGGTGTTATTTGTAATTGTAAGGAGTATATCTAGGTCAAATGAAAATTCTACTGAATAATTGCTGAATGCTAAGCAGCAAATACTAGATATGAAAGAACGGAAGAGTGACATTTAAGAAAAAAAGATTAGATTAGGAATGTATGTGTTGTAGAGAAAGTTGAACTAGCACCTGTTGAGGAAAAATCCAGAATTTTGCCTTAGTGAAGCCATGTGCTTAGAAGAAATAATAAGAGTTGAACCAATGGTGGATGGCCTTATAAACATCTGTGGAAGACAAAGGAAAAGTCTTCAAGTGAAACCATTAAGAAAGCCTTGATGCAAATAGCCTTTTTGAAACATGATTTTTGGTATAATGCAATGGTGTATCCGATCTGTGAAGCCAACCTCATTTAGTAGGAAAAGGATTTTTTTTGTTGTCATTTTTGTAGTGTTCAGTAATTGCTTCTAGTCTCTTTCACATATGCACAAACCTTTGTGAGAGCATACTAATAAAGATCCAACCAAAATGCTAATATTATGAGTAAAAATAAAATGTTTAAGAGCTATAAAAATCATTTGGTTATTGGTAGCTTGTTCATTTACACTACTTATGACTTAGCCATGTCCTTTGTCTTTTCAGTTGAGAGCCCTTGGAGAAGAAGGGATGGTAACAGAGCTGATCCAGTATTTACAGGTGGCGGAGAATCTTTTCATCTATAGAAACCCTTCATTGGGAAAACATATGTACAACACAGTGTTACATTATCTTGTTGAAGCCAAAAAGGTGAGTGACTCATGCATCATTACTTTCTCTATTTTGACACCTACTTTGTGAAGTGTGTTGTCATGCATGTTTGGCTGGAATATGAGGATTTCTACTTGATGTGCAGAGTAGCTTGGCGATTGCAATTTTCAAGAGGATGAAGTTAATTGGCAGCCCCCCTGATTCTGAAACATACAATATAATGATTGACTGTTGTAGCATCACAGAATGTTACAGATCTGCATGTTTGCTGATGGCAATGATGATACGGAAAGGGTTTTGTCCAGTGACTTGTACATATACTGCCATCATTAAGGTTCTTCTCATTTTAATCTCAGATAGTGATGTCCAAATTATTATTATTATTTTGTCCAAGATTTTGCAATTGTACTTGATTTTACGTGAAAGGAGTAAGATGCACATATTTAGGATTTTATAGTAACTCAAAGAACTTCCTAATCCCCTTCCACAAGTCAAGTAGTCAACCTGCAAGTAATAAATGCATGCATTTGGTGTTACATGTTTCTACTGGTACATAATTTGCATATTATTTTCATAATTCGTGCAGAATTAGGGGGGTTTACTAAATAAAATATGATTACATTTTGTTGAAATGGTGCTTCAGGAGCCTTTCTGCAGTTCTATCCTCAGTTACATTCTCCATGCTCACAGTGCATTATATTGGATGCATTTTTTTTTCTTATAACTTCAGACATATGAACATCTTAGGCTGGCTGGAGATTGAAAATACACAATGCACTAAATCTTTGCTCGTAAATGTAACCGCGTAAGGCATCAGCTTTAAAAGTAACGTGTAGTGACTACCCAAGGAAAGCATGGGTTTATTCTGGATTATCCAGATTTGGTTAATCTCGTCCTTATTACTAATTTTACTGCTTTTGTCCTGAGAGGGCACTAATTTACAAGGAGAATGTCCAAATTACAGGAATCTTGCAGTTGATTTCTGGTCATCATGAAGGTTGGTTATAACTAATGGTTGTATTATGGGTCACCATTTGTGCATGTGCTGATCTCTTCACTCTTTTCATGTGTTGCCATGACATCAGTCAGTCCAACAACTTTTAAATTTATTTTTAGAACTGTGTATCCCGACTTGATGCTGAGCTTGTTTTCATCAGATTTTGTTGCAAGATGAGAACTTTAATGAAGCCCTGAATATTTTGAAACAAGTTATATTGGATGGCATCCAACCTGATGTACTGCTGTTTAATACTTTTCTTAAAGAAGCATGTTACAAGGTACCTTGCTTTTCATTTTAAAATCTTTCTATATAGAAGTGGGATAAAAGTTAAAAGAAAAAAAAATCTGTTTCAGGCTCGTATATATATTTAACTAATTTAAGATATGACATATGAGTAATGCTTCACAACCATAAAAAAAATTGATTTAGTTCAGCAAAAAATTGTCAAGATTCGACCGTGGCTGTGGGATGCCTCAGTTTTAGGGGGCCACTCATCCATCTAAGTGTTAATAACAATGCCAACTCATTCTATACTAAATTATTCTCAAGAAATTGCATTGTTCTGCTATAATAACTATATTTTATGTTCAATAATGGTTATAATTTCTTCTGCACACTTAGTTTGCTAGCCCTTGGCATTCCAGCTAAAGAAAGTTTTATCATGAGGAAAAGTCTTATTTGTGCTTTATTCCATTCATGATGGAAAATTTAGAATGTTTCCTAATGTCATATAATTTATTCCTGAATTAGGAAAGGATTGATGTAATTGAGTTTATTGTGGAGTGTATGCACCGAGAGAAAGTTCCCCCTGATTCAGCAACATGCGGCTATGTCTTCTCTGCCTATGTAAATTCTGGATTTTACAATACAGCAATTGAAGCATTGCAGGTTTTAAGTTTGCGTATGATGTCTGAAGATGGAAACATACTTAGAGAGAAGAAAAATTTTGTGAATGAATTCATACTATCTGAAGATTTGAATGTTGAGTCACAGATACTTAAATTATTTGAAGATTCTGAAGATGAACTTGCTGTTGGGTTGTTGAATTTAAGATGGTGTGCCGTAGCTGGATTCCCAATCTGTGAGTCAGCTGATCAAAGCCTATGGGCTAAAAGACTGGAAAGGATGCAATTGTGAGAGCCTTCGAGTCCTATGAAGACACCGAGTTAGATACAATTGCTTGATGGTTTTAATGGAGACATTTGTCATTCATGGGAACCCTACATAAAAGGGTTGGGAGAGATGCTCTATCGTATCTGGTGTCAACTGTAACCTTCGTCATTGCTCCAGCTCTTCACAGGTGCTAAAATTTTCAATCATAATTTTTGTATACGACTTCCCATTTTGGAAGTTGCTGTTGTTTTATAAGCTATGTTGCACCAAGTTAGAATATTTTTAACGTTTGGTGCACAAAATTGTTTTTTTAAACACAACTCATAAATTTTGGCAAACGATGAAGCTATTAAATGACGTGTTAAATTCAAACAGAGCTTTTTCCTCTATTTTATCCATAAAAAAGATTATATATATATATATATAAAAAAAAAAGATAAGAATCAAACTTCTATCTTAATCCCTTCGCTCCTACCACTATGCTAAATAGATATAGCATCAATTCATAATTAAATTTCAATTTGGATGTTTCGAAAGTTTCACATTGAAAGACATTGAGTGTTATTACTGGCCATAGGGTTGTTATACTTAAAAGTCGGTGTACATACGAGTTTATAAGTATTTTTGTATTTAAATAAGTTTTTAGCCGTTCATTGAATTGTAATCAAATAGTCATGGTTAGCTTACTGAAGTTTGGGTTTGGGATTCTTCGTTCCGGTGCAACATTTCTAAGTTTCATTACACAATTATGTTAATAATACAGCATGTTTCTAATTTTTATTTTTTTTACATTAGAGAAATTACCACACTGATGAAGTTTATGAATTGAGAAAAATGTTATATTTGGCCCAAAATATTTACGCAACTGAGTTAAAAAGTTTCAATGACTAACCATCTTTTCTAATTGAAACCACCGTGAATATTGTTACAACTTGAATAATATACTTTATCTTCAAATGAATCTACTGTGTTTTCTATTTGCAACATCGTGGAAAGAATGACTAGCAAAATCAACAAAAGCAAGAAAACAAAAAACAGTTGATGAAATAAGTACATTTTTATTTTTGAAAACAAAATGTCAATATTTTATGTAGTATGAGTTGGCCCTTAACCTTACTGCATCATGATAACCACCAAAATGGGCATTTTGTTTTTAAATTGCTTAGTTTTGAAGTGAAGAAACAAGCGTTAAAAGGGGGAAGTCAAAAGGAAAAGAAGTGAGCCGATTGCGCCTATGAACTTTGAACTATATGAATGGATTTAGATTTGAGAGGAACGATTTTATTTGAAAGAAAGGAAATTATGACATTACGGTGCAAAGTTATCGTTGTCTTTAAAAACGCCTCGTTCCCCCATCATAATTGCAAAGATGAAGAAAATAAATAAATAACTTTTAATAACTTTATCCTGTTATCATCGACCCACCAAAACATAATGTCTCCTCCTCCTGTAAACAAATTCAGCTTCCGAGTAACGTTTCTCATTTTATTCTATCCTACTCGCTAGTGCTTAGATATCAACGTTGTTTTACCTTTCTACTCATCCTCCCAATATTTATTAAAATTAATTTATTTTTATTAAATATGGGTAAGAAACATGTTATATTCAATAATTTTTTATGAAATGTAATTAATTCGGTCATTATATTTTATGATGCTATATTCACGATCATATATGTCTAATTTCAAATGATTTAGACTCTTCTAGGTATAATAATAAATATTTACATGTATTTTAAATATCATATTGTTTATTGAAATAAAATGATGTGATGCATTATCAAATAAATTTATAACTTTATATATTTGATCTAATCAGTAAAACCATTAAATTCAACTGTTGATTCAATTTTGAATTTGCATTCTATAAAAATTTATTGAAGATGTCATTTCATTAATTTGATACCACAATGTCAATGAATTCTATCCCATTAGATATTATGATAAAATTATATTAATATTTTTGTAATAAATTTTTTAACTTTTTTATATGCTATTATGTTTAATCCCAAACTTTGCTGTGTCCTTCCTTAATAAAAATATATTAATATTATTTTTAATAAAAAAAAATTATTGCCATGTCTTTCTTTGGGGTGGGGTTGGTGGGATTACTTTTGTAAGGAGCGAGTTTAAAAAATGATACCCAATGCACTATCAAATCCAATTATCCACACCTTTTTAAAGGAGAAAGGGAGGAGCTGAGGCTTGAGAAAACCATTTTTCTAAAGAGTCATGATTATGTACTATTTTTTTTAAAACAATTACAGAAAGACAGTCACGGACCCTACTCATTAGTGTAAATGAATGCAACTATGTTATGTCTCTATGTATTTTATGTTTATTTCGACTTAAAATAATTAGTGAATATTTTGTGTGGTAAAATTTTAAAAACTCGAGGTAAAAAAATAATAATATAAGTTAAACAAATTATTTTATAAAATTTAAACAAATTACTTAGAGTGAGTTCTTATAGTTGTCTTCAGTTTAACTTTTTGTTCTTGTATAATAAACTATAAGTTTTAGTCTTTACACGTACAAAAGGTTAAATTTTAAAAATTTTCATATTTTCAAAAAGTTTTTGTTGTTGTTTTACACTATCAGAAAGTTTTTGTGGCAATCTTAACATTTTGAGCTACATCACTAATGTTAGCAACATGGAACAAAACTTAATTTTAAACTAAATTATACTTTTGATCTTTTTTAATTTATAATTTGCATTTTGTAATTTTTTTATTTATGCAATTTTGGTTCCCAAAACTTAAAATTTGCAATTTTGATTCAAATATAAAATCTATATATATTGAATGTTTAAATTAAAAAAATGTTCATACAAAAAGTAATAACTAAGTGATATTTCACACTATCATATCATTGTATGCATGTGAACAACCGTAAATATGAAGATTATGTATTGATACATGCTAGTGTGTAGACTTGACAATTAGATAAAATTGTTGGTATTTTAAAATTTGTGACTAAAATTACATAATTAAAATTGTTGGTATTTTAAAATTATGTGACTAAAATTACATAATTAAAAATAGTGATTTTTTTTTGTTTTCATCTTATTTGATAGAAGTCATTAATAGGGGCTGATATATATACCAAAAGAAAATGTTTGAAACTTGTGAAAATGATGAGTGCAAAACATTGAAAAGAAAATGACATGATGAATTGTTTTGATAAATGAAAAAAAAAAATCCAATAGCAACTTATAAGGAGCTAGTTACCTTACGAGCAATGGGTTAAGTGCAAAACAATTTGGGAGATATATGCATTGCGAAAAAAAAAAACGTAGACATGATAAGTGTGCGTGTTTAAATATGTATTTGATTTATCATTGAATAGTGAATTTTTACACATTTTAATGCATCAAATGGAGAAGGAAAAGTAATTCTTTTATCTTATTTGATTGAAAACAAGTTATGTTGAATGTAACTTTTTCACAAATTCAATCTAAATTATTAAAAGGAATAGAATAATAATTAAATGAAACCATAAAAGTAAAATAACACTAAAGTTCCTCATATTGAGAGAGAACAAAATTACATAATAAAAGAACATTAGCTTTTTATTTATCAATAAAGAGCATTAACTAAATATAGGACATTGGTTCTGTATTTAGTTATTTATTTTGAATAAAAGAGCAATATCAATTGACTTTAATCCATATTAAGCTTTTAAATTATATGCATATTGTGGTCATGCTGCAAACATTCATGGATATATGGATCTGTATTTAGTTCCGAATACGTGTCCCTCTAATAAATAACTATACTACCAGAAAATTAATAAAGAAGGAATATATAGTATCATTTAAATGCAAACTGAATGCTGTGAGTTGGAATTCCACTAAGTCTTTCCTTCAAGAGAAGATAGATTTAATTTCTCATCATGTCAAATTGCAAAGGACGTGCACTTCAAACCTTTTTGTTGTATATAATAGAATAATAGATGATAGATTTGTTCCCATTATCGTCTTACTCTCCATCACAAATCATAATGCCTCTACACCAAACTTTAGAATTTCATGTTTGTCATTATATGTGAATCACTTTGAACTGAATAAAACCAAATGATGACATTTTGATTCATTCATTCAGCTTCCTCATGATCAATCAAAAAAGTTTGAGATATTCTTTTGTCATTTGCTTTGACAAATAATGATTAGTATTCATAACTAATTTGAAAGTTAGAGAAAATAAACGGGATTGTTCCCAACAGATGCTTGAAATGGTTTTCATCTTGTCAATAATCCAACATCAAAAGCCATAGGAATTGGGCATTTAGGGAGTGCTTAACTTTTAGGATGGCATAATTACTAGTCATCGGATGATTTTTATCTGATAAAATATGAAAAGTCACCAGTAAAAATAGTTTTATAATATAATTATTTTGTTTCTGTTCATAACTTTTTTTACAAAAATATTTATCAATTTTTGTTGATGAATAATTCATGTTACAGAACATAATTACTATTTTTAGTGAATTTTTTTGTCCTAATCATATATTTTTCACCATAATGCTTGAATCCAAATTAGTCTAATTTTTTTTACTAGTCAGTTTATCCATGCGTTAATTTTTTTATCTACAATAAATTAATTTTTCTCTAACAAATTAAATTTATTTGTATATTTTATATCATTTTAAAAGATGATGTAATTATAAAAATTAATATAAAAAATTATATATTTTTTAAGTCTAAATCAAAAGCAAAGAATCTTTTCTCTTTGTTTCAAAATTGTTAAATAAATAACAATAAGAAAATATATCAAGTTTGATGTTTTTATAATAATAATAATAATAATAATAATAATAATAATAATAATAAAAAAAAAATTAAAAAAAAATCAAAAAGTATGAAAAAAATAACCATTTAATTATTTTTTTAGATTAAGTTTATAACAATAACAAAACATTTTTAAAAAAATGGACACATGTTCTAACAGAGGTAAAAATGAAGGGGGAAAAAAAGCTTTCATTCCCAAATAAAAAGCATATTTTTTCAAAAATATGTAGATTAAATTAAATAATAATTTTTTTTAAGATAAATGTAAACTTTTTTAAGTGTTATGTTTTCGGATTAATAAAATATTTATGTTTGAGTTTTTCTCATTAGTAATATTATATTGTATAATTTTGTAAATAAATTAAGCTAATCTTAAATATTATTATTTTATAAAGTTAAAAAATAATATTATTTTCTTTTGGAAACAATCTTAACTATTAATTTAATTTTAAAAAATTGACCCTTTAAAATATTTAAATATAATTTAAAAAAGGTGGTGATTGACATTATATATTAACTATAATTAAAGAAAAATATTTATTATATTTAATATAAATTTAAATAAAAAGTATGTAATTTTTTACTTAAATGTTTC